CCCACGGAAGCACAACTTTAGCGAAGTGCTGAGCGCCGCACACTGAAACTTACTGCCGCTGAATTGCCCGGTTCAGATGCACATAATCAGGGCTTGTGTTGTGGCCTGCCTTTGGTTATCACAACGAATTTGTTAAACACGGAGGTTCTCCTTTAACTCATGCTTAAATTTTGTTCCCAAAGCCCTGTTTTTTCGGTAGAAGCAGTTGTCACAGGCGGCTTGAACTGTTGTGTGAACGATGTGTTGGTTTTAAGTCAGAGCCTTTTGTGGGTGGAGTAATGTGCTTATTTTTGTCTGGTCAGGTAGCAGTGCTTTAACAGAGCTGCTTTAATTGCTTTTAGATTTAGTTTGGAGAACTGCTTTAGTCTGCATTGCAAACACAGTAGGTTTTGTTGAAGAATTTTAAAGAATGCTTTTGAAAGTGAATTATTTATGCTACTTTTAAAACCTTATTTTTCCTTAGCTTGTATGTCATATGGTTGAATAAACCCATTTTTGTGGGTTGCAAAGCATGCAGTTCTAATTTACTACTTAATGGGATTTATGGACTCCGTCCAGGCTATTGATGGTGTCTGAGATCTTTGCCATCTGCAGAAGTCAGAGTGGGCATTGTCTGTCAACACACTGCTCCTTGGTTGCTTGAGGCTTGGAGTGAGTGTACGGTCTGTATAATTAGAGCCGCTTTAGTTGTGATGATTGAGTCTTTTTGTTATTGAAATTCTAGAAATGGGCTTTGTCCCTGGTCTGGTTGAAGGCTGGGAAAAGGAGGAGTGCTGCCTGTTAGGGCAGAAATGGAAATCTGGATAGAAATGGAAAATAGTCATGATGGTTTTTCTTTTATTTCTACATTTCCTCTAGTATTCTGGAAGCTATTTTAACATAGACACCAACTTAGGTGAGGAAACACTTAGTAGTGTTCTTTGTATAAATGCATTTAAAAAAACCAAGTTCCCTGCTGTTTAAATAGTAACTCATTTGAGAGACAGAGAAAAGCAAATGTTGAAACATACACAGAGGTGACAAGACTTGTCTAACAGTGAGTGCTGTTACTTAGAAGCTGCTACAGCTTGAACCACGTTTGCACTGGACCGCATTGTCTCCAGTGTACAGGACGTGGTGAAGTCTCCCAGGTGTTATAGTCCATAACTAGAGCAACTGATCCATCAGATTGTTTGGACTGACACCCTTGTGGAATCCATGGCTCACTCTGCAGCTGAAGTGTAAGATGTTGCTCACCTTCAGGCATGGGCAGAAAGCACGCAGAGGCAGGGAACTACATGGTTATGTTGTAGCAATATGTTGATTCCACCTTAAGTGTGTTGTGGGAAGCTTGTTTTGTTGTGGTTGCTTTTGAGAACGTGAACATTGCTTTGGTTTGTTTGTTTAATCCAGGATGGATGCAACTCTGAAAGAGCTGACCAGCTTAGTGAAAGAAGTCTACCCAGAAGCACGGAAGAAGGGCACACACTTCAATTTTGCAATTGTTTTTACAGATCTCAAGAGGCCTGGATACAGGTAAATGGCATTTCGTCTCTGGGTTAATAGAAGATTTTAGGCACTGGAACAGTAAATTAATTTTCATAAACACTGATTTTTAAAGTTGAGAACTCACAAATCAAATTTTTAAAGCTTTCCTTGTTGCACCTGCTGCTGGAGGAGGGAAAAAAAACAACCCAGCATCCTGTGTACGTAGCTGGATGCTCAGTACAGTGCAGAGGGTGGCACAGGAGGGTGGCTGTGAGCCCATACAGTTTCTGGCTTGGACATCTGGAGAGATTTGCCTCTGATAACTAACTTGCCTGTCCTCTCCTGCACACAGGGTGAAGGAGATCGGCAGTACCATGTCGGGCAGGAAGGGCACAGATGACTCCATGACATTGCAGTCTCAGAAATTCCAGATAGGAGACTACTTGGATATAGCAATTACTCCTCCGAATCGTGCCCCGCCCCCATCGAGCCGCATGAGACCCTACTGAGCTATTCCTGCTTTGTGTGGCTGCACCCTCTGTTGGTTCCCACTTGCTGGTCTGAAGCAGGCTGCTGCTTTTGCTTTTGTTGCTACGCAAGAACACCTGAAGACGAAGCTGAGCATCAGAAATTAAAGCTAACTTTTAAACCCTAACTCTTAGTTTATTTGTGTAGAAGAAACACTTGCCTTTAGCCGTGCCATCGTCCTGTCCCTGATCCTTAGAGTTTGAACAGTAAGTCCGTGTGTCCCGTGTTTCAAGATTTCCTTAAAAGACGACCAGAAGGATTACAGGTGTTCTGTAGTTCTGTCTTGTTCGGAATAAAGATTGATGTTGTTAATCTTTTTGATGGTGTGGTGGTGTTTGGTTTGTTTGTGGTTTGTTTTTTTTTTTTTTAAAGTGAATTTCTGCAGAGAAATGTGGAAGTTGGAATTTTAAGCAGAAGTTGAAATTGAAAGGAGGGCCAAAGCCTTTATCTGGTAACTTTTGGGCTTGTTGGGTAGAGGCAGGTAGCCTTGCGGAGATTCCTTGCACAGGAGGATTTCTTAAACTGCTGCTGGCTGGATTTTGGAGGGTGAGGATGTGAGCAGTGTGGTGGAAGGCCGGGAAACACAGCGTTACCCTCCCTCCCACGTAGATGTGCAGACAAGGGAAGTCAGAGCTGAGCTGTGTAAGGCTGCCTGTCCTCCTGCAGGGGAGCCAGGGCAGGCAAATCCAGCTTCCAGGGGCTGCTCCATCTTGTGCCAAGATGATGCCCATCCATGGATTGGGAGTGGAATTGGTGACACCAGTATATCCCGGGACGCTGAGGGGCTGCTGGCCTGACCAGAGGAAGATGTGGTTTGGCACACTTCCACGCCATCCTTCCTCGAGTTCTGAAGGAACTAACGGTGTCTTCAAAACCAGAAGGTATAAGGCTGTCTTGGAAGGTCTCGCTTTACTCAGAACAGTGATCTCCAAACTTCTGATATCACACCCTTATCAGCAAAAGATTTTTTGAGTATGGGACCCCAAAATTGTTTAAATTATGTTCATCTACTACTGTACTAATATGCATTTTAAAACTACACAAAAATAGAAAGTTGAAATACTTTAAAAAATATTTTAAAACTGTATTTATTAAGGGTACCAAAAAACCTTTCTTGCTGCATCTCAACTTGGATGTTGTCTTGTCTTTGGCTTCTCTTGCGCACCCCACTTTGGAGACCGCCCTCTTGGAAGATGGGCGTGTCTGCAGAGACCTGGCCAGAAGAAATCCAGCGTTCTCAGACTGAGGTTGACTAAGGAGCGTGCAGAAGTGTTTCCTCGTGAAAATACACCGGCAGGCGCTGTGCCCAGAGATGCGCTTTCCCGCAGTTTCGATGGACCGAGAAGAAGTTGGGCAGCAAGTCTGCGCTCTGGCAGTACGTGTGGGAGTCCTGGCCCTGACCACCAGCTTCTTGGCCAAGCGAACCTGCAGGGTGGAGGTGGCTGGCTTGCATACGTCGATCTCCTGGGCTGCTGACCACAAGCAGTGTATTGTCAGTGTACCTGAGCAACAGGACAACACCCCGTTTTGGCTTCTGGAACTTAAAGGAAGCCTCTTTCCCCGTTACCTTAATCTAATGCACACGTATGATTGTGGACCCTACGCTGACCAGTCTGAGCTGGGTAAATCTCACCCCTTAGCCCGCAGTAAAATGACTTTTCACAAATCCTTGTATTGAACAGCAGTTTCTCAAGTTACCCCAACCCTCGGGTGTCAGGGCAGAGCCAGGGAGCAGTGAGGTATCAAGGGTCAAGGCTGTTCTGTGTTAAGTTACTGAGGAATCTGGAGGTTGTTGGGGGTGTCTAGCAGCCAGCTTCCAGACTCTCAAAAGAGGGGAAGGAGTAGCTAAGGGATGTCAGTTGTCCATGGAGAGACTGGAAGGCTGGTCTGTGTGATGGACACAGCTCTCTGGGAAATGGCTGATGTCGCCTGGTACCTTCTTAAAGAGCAGGAGAAAGAACGGGTGACCCATCTCGCAGCAAATCAGTGTAACACCGGAGGATGGGGCCTCTGCCTTCCCACAGCTCAGTGTTTGCCAGTTTCTTCTGTCACTGCAGGGGGAGATCTTGACACACACAGGTGCCTCTGGTGGACAGCAGGCTCCAGCTGTCGCTGGCCGTGTGCCTCTGCTGCCTGACCCTCAGCACCAGCTGGTCCCTAGAGAGCCAGGGGCCCCTGTTGTGTCCCTGTGTGCTGAGAGAGAGGCAAGAGTGGAAGCGGAGGCTGGAGCTGTTCCTTGGGGCCCTTGTCTTCTTCACTTAAGGCCTTAGCAGAGCAGAGGCTAAGACTGAAGCGTTCCTGTATGCTGAGGACAAGACTTGCCTTCTTTCATGAGCCGTGGTTTATATATATATATTTTTTTTTAATTATTATTATTTTTTTTTCTTGCAGGAGACCCTTGGTGCAGTACAGCATGAGAGATTTTAGGTTCAGTTCTGCCCGTGGTTCACCCTTTTCTGTCCCCCTTCTATGGCTTCTAAGTTATGGAGTTGTGATTTCAGTTTTTCATGAATAATCCTCATTTGCAGAATCATCTGCATCCAAGTCGCTTTTCCCCCTAAAACTGAAGAGGCGGAAAAGTGGTCCCCACCCATTTTTAAAGAAAGCTCAAGAAAAGAAAATATACGTGCTGCTTTATAAAGGACTGAGCCTGGAAGTGGCAATGGAGCTGGTCTGGTGTGGCCAGAGGTGGGATGGGTGGGGTGTTTTGCCGAGGTGAAGGCAGTCATCACCTCTGGTGTGAGGGGGAGGCTCCCCACCATGCTGTTGCTGTGAAGAGCCTGCATGTTTTAACAGCTCAATAACTTGTGTCACCAGGGGCAGGTTTGGTCAGGGTTGGGACCCTGGCCACCTGCATCCTGGGCTGTGGCCAGCAGATCAGCCATCTGGTTTTTGGCACCTTACAGACTTGGGCAGACAGAAAAGTGAAGACCATTGCTAAGTGGCCTGCTTTGCCACAGGGCATCATCCCTGCTGCAGAATGAGTGAGGTGAGTCCTGCAGTAACCAGTGTGTAACTACAGCATTGCACAGCCTCCCACCAAGGCCAGGACAGACCTGCTGTTGGAGATACCCAGGGATATGGCCAGTTCCTCATTTGTGTCCTGGTTTTTCCTTTGCCTTTAAGGATAATTCTCAAAAATCAAACGCAGTCAACGTACAAGGCAAGAGCAGCAAGTGAGTGTGTGTCTGTGACTCAGCTGCTCTAGGAAGCAGCTCAGCTTTGCTGCTGGAATGGGAGCTGTGGCCCAGTGATGGCTTCCATGTGCCCAGCCTGGGCCCGGTCTTCACACACCTCAGGGGAAAAGAGGAACAACTGGCTTTATCTTGGCAGCCCATGAAGCAAAAGCAGCAGGAAATTAACATGCAGAACTGCCTGCAGTAGCAAATCCTCCCGCTTGACTGCTTAGGTGTGGAGTTTAGCTTCACATGACTCCCATGAAAGTACAAACAGCTGACCTCTTCCCTGGCTGCTTCAGGCTCAACACCTCCCTGGAAAGTGATTTGCCCTTGACCACTTGCACTTCACACAGAAAGGTAATGCAGAAGTGAAGAGAATTTCAACTTCCTGTGCCTATTTTTATGGGAAAAGACACTTGAGAGGTCGGTGCAGTACATGTTCTCTACATCAAAACTCCTTTACGTGATCAAGAGGAGCAGTTTTGAACTCAGACGCCAGGATACAGCCAGCAGTTGTGACAGCAGACAGCACCAGGGTACAATCATCCAGATGTTGCAAGAGGTGGAACAGTCAGTGGAAGTTGTGACCTGCTGAGCTCCTACTGCACAGGGGAGAATTTACTCATAGAAAGGAGCTTGTGTGTCTCTTTCAAAGCTACTACAAAAGCTGAGGAAGGACGTCAGTCCCTAAAAAAAGAGAAAAATATGTAAAGCACCGTGGTTCAGGGAAATTAAAGCATGGTCTCAAAACTCAACAACAGTGAGCAATTCCATGTGCTCAGGAAGCAAACTTGTGTAGACAATGCTACACCCAGATCCCTCAATCCACAGGACTTGCTTTGTACACAGCCATTTCATGAGGAATTTTTGTCCCTCATCAAGGCAGCTGCATGAGATGTGTTTTTTCACTTTTCTTTTTGGATGCTTAAAGCCCTAACAGACACAACTCGGTTTCATCGCTGCACTTTCACCAGCAACCCTGCCCTGGCCCTTCAAAGCTCCTTTCTTTCCTTGCAATGGCAGCATGGGCCTTGTAAAGCTTCTGTGTAGTGCTTTTGGGAGCAGCTGGCTGTGTTTCTGGTGGAGCAACTGGTGTCTGGGTTAATTCCCTCTCTTAAGCAGCAAGGAAGAGGCTCACACGCTTTGCTAATAACCTGGGCTGCATCAGACACACTCCTCACGCAGGCACCGTGTTCTCTGTCTGTCTGGAGCAGGTGTGAAGACTTAAGTTTTGCTTTACTGCTCTGGAAAAAGCAGAAACAGCCTTGCTGCAGCACAAAACCATGAAGCATTATCAGCGAGTTCTCACTCTTGCAATGGGCAGCGTGGAAAAATGAGAAGGTCTCAGAAACCTTGTTGTGTCACAGCAAATGAGTGACAACAGCTATGGCTGTGTTCACAGAACAGCACTGTAAGTAAAGCGACAGCACAGACACAAACTGCCCAACCCAAAGCCGTTGTCTCAGCCCTCGTGTCTCGACATTACAGAGCAGCTGGGTTAAAAAACACATCAGTTCCTCCAAGGGAAGAGGACACTGAGGAATGCGAATTGTAAAACACCCACGTCACGTTGTGCACAGCAGGCGCCGTGCCTGGCCACAAAGACCTGTCAGCAATGAGGAGGAGGTGCCAGGCTGGCCCACCAAGCAAGGCACTGGAGATAAATAGAAAATGGCGAAGGGCTGGGGTCAGAGGGGCTGGAGTGTTTGGGACCATCCCTGTGGTATTTCCAGTCTCACAGAACTGACAGACTTAAGGAGAGAGACATCCTGGCCCAAAGAACTCACCTGAGCTCTTCAACACTAAGCAAGAAAATCCAGTAAATGCTGGAAGTGACAGCTTCAAGGGCACCTCTGGGTGAGCTCCTCTTAGTGCTGGCTGAGGCATGAATTCCCCACCCCATGCTTCAGGAAAACATGAGTCTTGGGGGTCTGTACCTGCCCCAGACAACCCCACTGTGTGTGCTGTTTGAATCCAATTATTCCTTTCCTTGAGTCCTCAGTGCACATTTGGGAGATGTAGAAGACCTGCCACCTCTCCATTACCGAGAAAGAAATGGGAGCAAGCATAGCTAGTTGACCCTTTTCCTTCTAGTCTTCTGCTGAGGTCTTGTAGCTGAAACCATGAAGCACGTACCCCAGGCTTCAGAGGACAAGAGAGGAGAGCCCCAGCAGCAGTTCCAGGTAGGGCATTTGAAGGACAGCACCTTCACCCCTTGGTACCTGCCCGCGCAGCCGGGGCCGAGCACCATCCCCCAGCCCTTGCTGAGCCTGGGGTCTGCAGCAAGGGCTGCCACCCTCCTGCTGCCTTTGGTTTCAGAACTGCACTGAAACTGCACAGGCTTGTGCTTAAAAGGGAGAAGGGAAGTGCGTGCATTTAAAAATCCTAGAGGTTTGAAATATGGTCCCACCAGCACCACATTAAAACAGCCTACATGGCCAGGAATGAACCACACCACCCTGCACCTACAGGGCCATCTTCTGAGGGTGAGGTTTGTCAGAGTAGCTGTGTCCCCTCCAGTCTAACTCATGCACAGCTGCCATGGAAGTGCCATTCACTGCTCCAGCTGCCATGGAAGTGCTCGTGGAACAGCCTCAGGAAATCTGACCAAAGCAGGCAGGCAGCCAGGACAGGATTCCCAGAGCAGCTTAAACTGCCAGTGAGGGAGGTGGCCCTGGCTCCCAGTGCCCCCACCCTTTCCCTTCTCCACCCTCAACAGCTGTCAGTGCCTTTGCAGGTGAGCAGCGATGTGGGTCAGCACACACAGTCCAGAAACAATTTAACCTTGGAAAACAACCATTAGTTCCTGGTGGCTGGGCAAGCAGGAAAGCTTCCTGTGCCACCCCAACTGCAGTGACGCAGCCAGGGCTTGGGACCTGCAGCTGTGGGAGAGGAAAGGCGGGACCGCGCACCAAGGCCTCACGTTGGTTTACAACAATTGCATAAACAATCATTAGGGAGGTAACCACAGGGCTTTAAGCCAGGGATTATGAAAGCACGTGCACACCTTCCTGCTGGGCATTCTGCAAACGATCCTCTCTCGGTCTCTCTCCAGGAGAAATGCCCGTGTAGCACCGTATCTTCTTCCATGGACCATTTCCCGTGTGTGCACAGTTGTGCTATTTATTTTTTAAACTCTTCAACTTAGACAAGATCAAAGAAATTTACAGACCTGGTCAGCTCCCTACTGTGATGTCAACTGCCCTTTTGTAAAAGTGAGTCCTGCCATAAGAACAGCAGGAGGTTTCATGGTTAAGTCGACAGATAATATAGCCGGCAGTGACCAACTTTCTTAGTATAAAGCTGTAATTCCTGTGCAGTGACATACGTGCGATTCCATAGTGCAGCCACTGGATGTTGTCAGTGCTCCTTATAAACACCACAATCTCTGTATTACTGTCCCCTGGGGAAACAAGGTACTCCCAAAATACATCAGTACGGCTATTGATGGAGCATATGAAACCACCACGAGTACTGGAACATCTGAATGATGACAACAAGGAACGAAGCAAATATCATCTCTTACAGAAAATATAAAGCATCCATGAGGCTTTAAATAACCAAGGAAGCCGAGGCTGCAGTTATTGCTCCCGTGATTTATAAAGACATCAATAAAGGCACAACAGGAGGCACTAAAAGCGATGTTATCATTTATCCATTTGACAACCAGCTGGGAAGTTTCATTCCACTGCAAGATCTGTATTTGTAATTTAACCTCAAGCAAAATATTTCTAAGAAACAAAAGCATTGACCACTTTACAGCAGTTCCAAGGCAGAACAATTGAGATGCTCCTTTGACAACAAATGGGATTATGAAGAGAAGTTTCTGTTAGCTGACACATTTGATATACTTAAACAAATGAAAAGAAGCTTAAGAACCACAGCAAAGGAAGGAAAACTGAAGGCTGTGCTCTTCTGGTTGCTTCCCAGACATCCCTAAATATTGAAGTGCAGTTTTGTGCTGGTTCAATCTTTTCTGATGCAGGCTACTGCTAGAAGATGTGATCCTGCTCTCACCCTTCCCTTACATCTGATCCAGTGATCACACAGGCAGAAGCTGAGTTTGAGATCACTGTTAAGGAGGATAAACTAGAAAAGAAAATTAATTAGTCTTTCAGTGCCTCAGCAAATGGAAGGAATCCATCATAAAACTGCAAGACCTCTAAATTCTGTGCACAAGCAGCGGTGAAGCAGCCTCTAGTGGAAGGAGCCCCCAGTTAAACTGGATTAAGCACAACACAGAACAGCAGCCTGAACCAGTTCCGCCTCTTCTCAGATGGTGACTGTCCCTTACAGAACTACTGCGCTCACTACTTATTTAGCTACTGTTTATCCAAACTGCACTTTCTGACAGGCCAGTGCTGTGATCAGATTCATCCCACAACAAACCAACCTGCAACTTTTAAGTTCTTTTGTATTATTCTCACTCTGACATGTCATATTACTTCAGTGCACAGTGGGGTGAGCCTTTGTTCAGCAGCTGTACTGGTTTAAGCGGAGTCTTAACCTCCTCCAGCCTCATGGCTACATCCTTGGTTGTTTGACCATTTGTGGTTTATCAGATGTCCACCCAGCCGCCCGCGTGAGAGAACTGATCTGAGTACAAAAAAGACAATACAAACCACTAAACTTTCCACTCCCCCCCAGCTGATTTTGAACACGGATCATTTTCCAACACTGCTTATGCTTTCACTTCTGCCAACTCCCTCCCCCTCCGCCCCAATACTCAAACTACTGCTTAGGCCTTACTGAAACCTAAAAGGTTTTCCAAGGTAAAGCACAACAAACTAAAACTAGTTTTTGTTGTGCTGCTCTGATTATATCCACCTCAGAGCAACAGACCTGCTATAAAGAAAAACATAAACACAAACAGCAATATTACTCGTATTAAGGTAACATTGTAGGCAAGAAAAACAAAGTTAGTAAAACTTCATTTCTAGATTCCAAAAAGTCTTACGCCAGCATTGTGTCAAATAGCTTGAGTAGACTAGAAGATTTTAAGATTTCAATTGTCACCTTGAAGACAATTTGTATCTCAAAATATTAATTGAATCCTTTCCATATTAGTTAAATAGCTACAAAATGTAGCAGAAAACATTGTTTAATAGGCAAGAAAAATGATGCAAATGGTTTATGGTGAGAACCGCAGCACTGCGAGGTGCAACTCCACAGTTCCCTAATGGAGGAAAGGACAGTGGAGTGCAGAGCTGCTCCCGAGTTTAGGGAAAAGACCTTTATAAGGCTCTTCGGGAATTTCATTAGTTGAAGGGGGGAGGTGGGGCAGGAATGAAGCAGGGTCCAGGACAGTAGTGCTGCTTGTTCCATTTCATGTTAAATGGAGTCTTTCAGGACATCTAGATTGCTTCAGGGCAAGGAAGTACCCATGAAGTGCTGTGGAGGGAGAATGCAGGCTGTGAAACCCCCTCCTGCCCAGTGCTGGTAAATCCGGCTGCCTGAAAGATTCTTGCTCTGCAGCAGAACACTTTGTATCTTGTTAAGACCATGAAATTCCATGACTAGCATCCAACCCATTATGTGGCTTTAGCCTGTGAAGATGCTGGAAACAGGTCTGGCCTTCACCCTCTGAAGGAGCTGGATAGAACAAGTAAGTACTTTTATAGCGGCATATGATTAGTTTTCCAAGCATCTGAGACAGATTTATTTAGTATTCAAAAGTGTTGATTAAGCTCAGAGACTGACATATAATCATACGTGAATATTTTTAAACAGAAGGTAGCACAGGAAAATGACAGTGTGCTCAGGCCAGAACTAGTAGAAAATCAGCTTCTCCAGTTAATTTGATGTACATTTATCCTGGACAATGACTGGAATAGCAGGAAAAAGGCTCCTTTACTTGGCAGGTTTTAGCCAGGATAGGTCCACCTAAGCATTTGGAGAAATACTTCCAGGCATCTCCAGATGTTTGCATACCCTGAGGACTTAAAAACAAAGTGTTCTGTGTTCAGAAAAGCATAGAGTTCTCCCCATCTCCTGGGACAATCTCTCCTTTCTCTAGTGTTGTATGCCTGCCTTCATATAAATGACAGACTTCTAGCCATCAACAGGAAGATGACATGCAGCTAAGAGCAGTCCGGGAGTCACTGAGAGGAACAGCTGACACTAGAAACAGCAAACTGGCTCTAAGCCAGGACACGTAGTTGGTGTTTCCTATGGACAAAAGTTAAATCTCTGGTGGAAAAAAAAATCCCAATTACTATGACCATCAGATACCAAAAACAAGCCCAGCAACCCTGAGAATTTAAGCTCTGTCAGCTATTACAGGGATAGATGTGCATGTTTAGAAGTGACACCACCACTTACAGAACACACATGGTAGCAGCACAGGAGAGTAAGCAATCACCTACATGCCTGCCAGGAAATCTTTCCAGCAGCTGAAGATATATGTAAGCAGTACCAATTGCACAATATATTTCCAAATAATTCATATTCAAGGCAGAGTAAATCTTTTAGGGCTACAGAGGTTAGACTGCCAAAAGGAAAACAGATGTATAGCACCTAACAGAATGTCCATGTAAGAAAGCTGTAAGAAAGCAGCAGCAGCGTAAGAACTACCCGTCCATCAGACAGGTAACAGAGAGCCGATGCAGGAATATGGCCGATACGTCTTAGTGCTGCAGAAGTGACTAACAGCATAGAAGCTCTCACACTGTTGAAGTACTACACTTTAAACTGAGCCCTGAAAAGAGGTACAGTGCCACCAGAACAGAGATACGCACTGTCTGGGCAATATACTGGACTTTCCCTTTATTGCAACCTAACTACGCTGCTCTACAGCCTACTGCAAACGGAAGCACGCATAACAAACGTGACAATCGGGTGAAAGACTGAAGTACCACCCCATACACGATCCCAGTCCTCTTTGGAGGACATATATATGTATATATATATTTAAAACCCCCTCAATATCTTTTGCCAATAATTTCAATAAAAAATTAAGCACAAGGCACAAGTTATTAGTTCAAACAAGTTTAACCACATCAAACTTTCTCCTTTATATGGCTCTTTCCTCCCACTAGTCTTTTCTTTCGCTTTTTGAGCTTGTTATGATTCAGTGATAAGATCCATGAATGTGAAGCAGTCTCAACATTGTCTTCAGCTTGATTTCAGATGTTTGGCTTGAAAAATCCAGGATTTCCTCTGCAAATTTAACCAGAAGAGTTCATGAACTTATCTGAATCATATTTTGAATTAGCAGAAGACAAAGACATTGAAAACTTTTTTTTTAAGTTATCTTGACAAGAAAAAAGGAAGGGTCAGCTAAAGTGTGAGCTTTGCTCTATTTGATTACTCAAATGGATTCCAACTCCAAGTATATTAAGATACCTACTTTTATCAGTCTCATTCTGGGTTATTATGATTATTACTTGACTTCATACATGTTCCTTGCACCTCTTATCTAAATAATCTGTACTGACCCCAAGTTTAACAGATAATCAACACGTGTAATATACATTACATCAAATCAGGAATATCTGCACTTGATCACGTTGTCACAAAAAACTTTTCTATTCAAATCAATTGAGTTCTTTTTAAAGCTCCTTTTCTATTGTTCAAAGATTACTCATACTTCTTGTAGACTAATTTAATCTCACGTATTGTTCAAAAGTGGTTTTGCATTTCAAAGAACTTCGACAAAACAACCATGAAATTGGTCATGTCACTTATATAGTTTTCTCCAATTCCTTAGTTCTATTGCCTAAATTTACTCAGAAGAAAGCATTCACTGGTGCTCTGATTGCCACAAAGCAAAATATACCTACAAATAAAACAGTAAAACTCTACCTTAATTTATTTTTTTAAAGTTGAGAGGATTCAAACACACAATCAATTATAATATTTGTTGAAAATGAAGGCAGTCAGATACCATGCCAAAGAACAGTTACTTAGTCACAGCAACAAGAGCTATTTTGGTAGCTGAAGAGCAAACAGCTGCATTAATTTCTAAATGCATTAAAGCATCTTTATAGCTCCTCCACATTAAATTACTCAACTAAATTTTCAAAATTTGGTCATACCTGTTCTCTTTGTTGCAGTAATCAGTGAAATCACCTTCATATCTTCTAGCATTTCCTACCTTAGTCTCCATTTCCTTGGGTTTAGAAGAGTCTACTTTATTATTATACTTGGACAGAATCTACAGGAAATATTAAAAGGGAATAAAAAGAATTATCTAAGAACTCAAAGCAGGATTCACAATCACACAATCACAGAATCACAGGGGTTGGAAGGGACCTCTGGAGATCATCTAGTCCAACCCCTCTGCCAAAGCAGGGCTGCCTTCCTGAAACAATCCTCATCAGCAATAAAAATCATCAATGTTTATACATTTGATAAGTAGCAGAGAACTCTTGAAACAATCCTCATCAGCAATTACTGTTTATACATTTGATAAGTAGCAGAGAACTCTTTATTTTTGAAGAGCAACATTTGATAGAACTAATCCCTTTTAATGACACTATTTTGATATTAAAACTATTTAGGAAAAAAAAAAAAGTGTATTAGCTAACCTGTAGAACATCATCTGGTATCCTTGTTATTTCTGGAGGTGGAGGAGTATTGAGTAACTGGTCATACTGTTTTATTTTGGGAGGAGAAGGGTCTCTGAAACGTTTAAGGTACTCATCAGAGCTCACAGTAAAAGAGAGGCTATCTTCTGTGAACTTTTTATCTGTTGCATCGTTCTTTGTCACCGACTCCATCTTTTCCCCCTGCTTTACCTGCTGCAAAAGAGTTATTGAATGCCTTCAGTTAACTTACTTGTCTTAGGTAAAGTACTGAATAAATGTTTTTAAAAAATTTGAACATTTGAAATGTCTTCTACAATGAAATAAGAAAAAGTAATATTGGAAAAGAATCCCAAACTGACATCTGAAAAACTGCTTATGGTAAAAGTATATGAAAATATACATAATTGGAATTAACTACCTTAGCTTCTGTTTTTAGCCATCTTGTTTCAAAATCTGGGACCTGTGGCGTTGCTGTATGACTGGGAAAAGGCAGTTCATTTGTCTCTGGTGACCGTGGTAATACTGTGCTATTTGTCCTGGAATGGATTTTCACATCAGGAGTACAGAACACAAGGACCATAGGAGAAACCATCCAGTCAGCTGCTGCAATTAAGGGGTGGGGGGAGTATAAAAAAAATTATATACATACACAGACTCACAAGTATATATAAATATTACCAGTTCCAGTGCCCCACTTTAGTTTTCTGAGTCTACCTGCTTTTCATAGATTTGCATATTCTAAAGCACCTGTATCATTTTAGCTGATATTTTAGTACGAAGAACCATCCAAATTACAGAATTCCATAAAAACAGCAAAAGCATAAAAAAAAGTAATAAATCTAATCCCACTACTGAATATAACTGAAAAAGCCCAACTCAAATCAACACTGCTTTAGCTTCTCATATATTCAGTTCTCTCTATGTTTGTCCCAAGTTCTTCACACATTTTCAAGAGACCATATTATATCTCCTCTCAAAGAACTTTTAGCACTACGCTTCAAAGATTTAAGTTACTTTCTCATTACCCTCTTTCGAAGCAGTTTCTTTCCTATCTTTAAACAGATTTAATGGGTATTCTCAGGAAAAAAAAAAAGGCTGAGTTGTCAAATCAGCATTTTATTTAAAATAAGGGTAAGTTGCAGTTAAAAAATGATGGATGCCTCTGAATAATTCTAGATGGATATGAGCAGAAGAATGAGCAAAGCTTTATAAAGTGATAAACTTTCCCATAGAAGCCACCAACATTTAATTTTCTAGACATTAGTACCTGTACAATGACTGGGCCTGAATTAACTATATTTAACCAGAAAGACAGTTAAAAGTTTACCATGCATTTACACATCCATTACATAAAAAATGCATATGGATATTTAGTTCACAGGTTTGTAACTTACCATTCTCAGTTGTCACTTTTGGTTTTGGCCCAGGAGTAACCATGATTTCCCTGGGTGTCATTCCTGGTACATTGACTTCATGATCATGTTTTTTAAACACCCTGAAAAACAAAACACTGTTAACTCTCAAATAATATGAAAAAAAAATTACAATTAAAGGAACACTGTCAACCTGATCACTCGTCCAGTATTTGTTCATCAACATGCAAGTCAAAAAGTCATTTCTTCAAAGATTATTTTTTCATTGATTTTTCATCTGTGATTCTACTGCAGCAATTAGTAGCATGCAAATGTTCAGTTCATCCACAAATTATCAAATACACTGAGATTTCATCCAAGGCAACACCTCCCCCCCAAAAAAAAACCCCAAAGAACAACAACAACAACAAAAAGAAACAGGTGTCCAGGCTAGGATCAATTTTCTTTGTCACAGATGATCAATTCTGTGGCAGGGGTACAGTCTATTTTATTTTGAATCATCCATTGCCTATAAAATTTTAAACAAGAGGAAATCTTTTGGCTCTTAACCTACTAATGTTATTGTGAACACTAAGAGAGTTTTAATTCAATTTTTAGGTTTGATTAAGATTACTTATGCTAAGCACTAGTTGACTTCAGAGTGAAAAACCATTTAATATAAATTCCACAAAACTAGAAACTGAAATTTAAAAAATTATTTTTTCATATCCAAGATATTCTAGTGTAAGAAGGGTGCAGGGAGTTAAGAGACAACACCAGACAAAAAGTGGAAGCTTACCTAAACTCTACACAGAAGCGTGTCCATAAGAAAATAATTTTAAATCATAGAATGGTTTGGGTTGGAAGGGACCTTAAAGATCATCTAGTTCCAACCCCCCTGCCATCAGCAGGGACACCTTCCACTAGACCAGGTTGCTCAAAGCCTCATCCAGCCTGGCCTTCAACACCTCCAGGGAGGGGGCATCCACAGCTTCTCTGGGCAACCTGTTCCAGTGTCTGACCACCCTCACAGTGAAGAACTTCTTCCTAATATCTAATCTAAACCTGCTATAGAGCTTCTCTACAAAAAGTCTAAGCTTAAAAAAAAAATTATCAATTTGAGGTAGTATATTTTACTTAGATGAACACATCTCAAATTTTGAGCTTAAAAAATAAATAAAAAAACCCCAAACTTTTGGTTTCAGTTTTGTAGTAGGTGTACCTGAGTATGTTCTTTTCACCTGCTTCAAAACTGAACACCTGAAAAAAAGTTGAAAGAGTTGAGGTTTACTAAATATTTTTTAACAACTCTGACATTAATTTTTAAAGTAGTATTCACACAATGCACAGCTACTAGACAGATTTAAGTCAGGTACAAGACCTGGCTGGGACAAGCAAGGGAAATGAAAGGGAGGGCTGTCTCCAAGAAAGTCAGAATTATTACCTGTCTTTGTACCTGGAAACTACGGGTATAAGGCTACAGCATTTATACTGGTTGGTTTTGTTTTGCTTACCCAGTCTTCAGGGGAGAGATTCTGCCCATTATCCAGTGATTTTTTTTTTTTTTTTTTAATTTGCTGGCTTAGTGTTCTGCCCATTGAACATGCTGAACCTTCTCACCAAGAGGTGAGTGCTTTAAGATGTTTAATTGTTTCAGCCTTGCTGATCAAACCCCAAGCTACTTAATGATGCAAAATAAACAAAACAAATAAGCTAAAAGACAGTGAAACAACATTTTAACTCTAATGACTTAATGTCATGACCTCTCACATATGCCACTAATTCTGAATCCACGTGCAGCTGTAACCAGTGTGTGTCCATCTGTTTTGGTCATTAATGATGATGTGTTAAAGAACAATCATGCTATAACTAATTCTATACAGAATTTTAATGTTATCATTAGGGGTACATAAGACTGCTAGAGTGATTTTTCTTTTCTTTCCTTTTTTTAACATATATATAAATATCAGTAGTGGGCTAATCTAATTGTTTCACTAGAAATAGCCACAGGAATATAATCTACATTTGTGGATGTATCAAATTATAAGTTACAGTCATAATTAAAACTGAAGATCACATTTAAAACCATTTTCATTAAATAGGAAAAGTAGTACAAAACTACAAAAAGTTATAGATAGCAAAAGAACTTAAATTGTGTGATAAGAGGAAACTATTTTCAAAGTATTATTTGAGAGGGAACCTTTTTTAAATTAATATTTTTCAGGATTCAGTAACAGTTTTCCTTTTATTACAATTCAAATGCTATAAAGCCTTATAGAGATTATAGTATTTACATACCTATTCAAAAGGAGAGATCCTAAAACTATTGTAAAAGAAAAATGTATCTTTTCACTTTTCTCCCCAGTAATCTTCACATTAAAAACTCAAAATTTAACCATTGCAGTAAACTGCATCATCAGGGGACAAAGTCATAGAATCACAGAATGGTTTGGGTTGGAAGGGACCTTAAAGATCATCCAGTTCCAAGACCCCTGTCATCAGCAGAGACCCCTTCAACTAGACCAGGTTGCTCAAAGCCTCATCCAGCCTGGCCTTCAACACTTCCAGGGAGGGGGCATCCACAACTTCCTTGAGCAATCTGTTCCAGTGTCTGACCGCCCTCACAGTGAAGAACTTCTTCCTAATATCTAATCTAAACCTCCCCTCTTTCAGCTTAAAGCCATTTCCCCTTGTTCTGTCATTAATTGCCCTTATGAAAAGTCCCTCCCCAGCTTTCTTGTAGGCCCCCTTCAGGTACTGGAAGGCCACTATAAGATCTCTCCGGAGCCTTCTCTTTTTCAGGCTGAACAGCCCCAACTCTTTCAGCCTGTCCTCATAGGAGAGGTGCTCCAGCCCTTGGATCATCCTTGTGGCCTCCTCTGGACTTGTTCTAACAAGTCACTTAAGTTCACATGGTTCTAAAGAACTTCACACCTGTGCATATATTGCAAATATCAGGGATAAAAAAAAAACAAAATAAAATTGAATTATTTTTTTCACTACTTTTTTTGAATATGGTTCTTGGTTTTTGAACAATTTCTCTAAATATCAAATATTTAGCTGTGGAACAAGTTTCTTTTAAATACTGTCAGCTTTTAAAATTGAATGTTTTGCTAATACTAAGTATAAAAACATGATCTAACTGCCTTTACATTACCTTAGAAGTATAGAAAAATACTTCTGCTAAGGTGTTCTACACCTCACCGCTGCAAATTCTTCTCTTTAATCTTAATTTTAAAGGTGAAAATGTAGACATGTCTTTTCAACAGAAGACTGGAGCAAAGAGAGCTGTTTGTAAGGTGGGCCTGGATAATGTCAGATATAATACACTGTTTCTACAAGGAGGCATTTTACTGAACGCTTTAGAAGCTTTTTCCATGTCTATATTCCCAAAGCTTTTGAAACCTTTAAATTTCCTATGTAATACCTACTGCAGACAACATGTCCCCAAATCCAAGGTTAAGGAAAGCAGAAGATGACAGATATACTGTGCATTTCCATACACAATCTGTTTACAGAGGGAAAGATCCTTACTGTGGTGCAGTCAAGGGAAGGAGTATATTAGAGATGTGTTTCCTGGCAGCATTTGGCACTGCAAAGGCTACGTGAAAAGACACGTAGGAAGTCAAATAAAGACACAGGACTAACCAGCTGTTAGATAATAACATACCACCTGCTTGAATGAAAAGAGAAGGGCAACAGCAGCAAGAAATTAGTACAGCAAGAAGAAAATACTGAAAATTCAGTAGAGAAACAATCTGAACTTAAGTAATTTACTCACTTCATGCTTGCCTGAGCAGTTTTACGAAGAAGTGACATTGTATAATCTTCATTCATACACATGGTATGTTCACTAATTCCAAAGTGTTCAAATTTTGGTGTTGCACACTCATAATCGTCCATCTTTAGCATACATTTTGGTGTTTTGGGCAAGATAGAGGGGGTCTGTGGTTTTAGAGGAGTCCTGTTTGAATTATCTTGATGAGCATTTGTTGCACGTTGTTCTTTCACTGCACTCCAAGGCCTGGAGAAAGCATATCGTGAAAGACCAAAATCAGAAAGCTGGGGGTTACGCAGTGGGTCTTCAGGCACCAGAGGCTTCTCAGTACAAGCAGGAAGATGAGGTACATCATCTGCTTTTTCTTCGGATTTATCCTGGACAGACACTGTTGAATCACTGTTAACTTCTTCCTCTGCCTCTCCTGTTTGATAAAATGAATTTTAAAAAGTCAGAGGATTCTGGTTTATGTATTTATAAAATAAATTGGGACTTTCCCCTCCCATATTAAATTTTTTTTTAAATTTATTATGGTAAAAAAATAGATTCATTCTTTCATTTTAAAACACTGAACCTACAAGAGATATCAAAAGCTCTCATCAGGCTAAGCTATATTTATAATATAGGTCACACATTTACCAAATTTCACTCTACTGGTAAATATTTTTTCTAGGAAAAATTAAATTGAAAGATTTTTACACAAGTGTATTTTTACTAGAATTCCTTTCCCTGCATGGAGCAGGCAGGAAGTGCTAATCTTAAATATATTTATTTGTTTTTATTTCAGTGCAAGAGTGGAAATTCATTAAAAACATACAACATAAATGACAATGAAAAAAAATTTGTATAGTACTGAAAATGTTTTTGGGGAAAGAGCAAAGGCTGCACACAGAACTGGAATGCTCATTCTTCAGAAGAACAGTACTGAAGAAAGGTTCCGAAGCAGCAACTAAAAACTCATGAGAGAGGTTCGCTTTTTAGGTAACAAGAATAATCCCCTGCAGAAATGTGTAATTTGTACATTTCTGTAGTTAGCTGAACTGAAACCCCCCAAAACATCTGAATTTCTGCATGATGTAGGAAGCGGGGTGGCAGGGGAGGAGATATTTAAAATAACACGGCAGAGGCATTACCTTTTTATGTGTATTGGTATTACTTATTCAGATACACTTAGCTTAAAAATACATCTTAAAAATAAATTAACCTTGTAGCTCTGTTTAGAGTCTTCTTTAAAGGCAGAGAGATGAAAGGAAGGAAGGTACTATGAAATCAGAGCTTTCTGCCATATCTTTGTAAAACAGTTGTAGCAGCTTAACTAGGAGGTGAATATGGTCCACAACCACAATTCTGTTGTGTGTAATGACTGGATAATGCTCAGGGGAAGGTCAAGGCTTCTTGAAGACCATTTGGACCCTTGATACCAAAAGGGGTATGTGTAGGACTGACAATTGTATTTTAAACTCATTTGGCATATCTGGATTTTTCCACAAACGCGTGTGTGCACTTTCTCTCTGGATTAAGGATCTGCCCGCCTCCAGTCACCACGCTACTACTGCTTCGTAGATTGCCACGTGTCACCTCATCCCTGTACGAGCTTCTCTTGTCCCCTTTGTGCTACGGAGCACGTGATTTTAAGATTTTCTCTGTGGTGATTTAGGTTAATGCAGTCATCATATTAACACAAACTAATTTAGAGGAATGATTTACAATAGTTTCCCATGCACGAGAGGCCGAAGTAGCATAATGCTCTGGGTTATCCAAATAAGCTTGCTAACATGTTTTCTGAATATATTACTGGAGGAAGAAACCCCATGCAAGAACTTAAAAGCATGCCAGGAGATCTAACTCTGCATTTTTGTATTTTGGTTTATTCTTACTGCACCAATCACAACAGAAACTTTTATCCTCTGGATATTATTATAAAGCAAATAACATAGATGTACTTGATCTCTTAATTAATAGAAATATACACATAGCTAAAGAGAAATATTTTAGAAAATTACATTTGTCTTCACATACTGTATTGCCAAGAAATATTACCTGTAGAATCTTTGACATGTGGTTTGTAGCCATATTTCTGGAACAGCTCTCTTATTTTTCGAAGATCTGCTGCATTTCTTTGCATCAATATTTCACTTGCCTTCATAAACTCATGAATTGCTTGTGTTTCAGAGCAACTCTTACCAAGACTGGCATTAACATCTTCCTTTGGGGGCAGAGGAGGGGAGGGAAATACAGAAATATTGGTTTTCAAATCACCATATGGTAGTTGTTTGTTTACACATTAACTGTTTTGGTTATTGAACTTCAGTTCAGATGAGGATAAGCAGCAAGTTTGGGTCTTATCTACACTTGAAAACTAGGTTACAAAGCATCAGGAATCCATAGGGCATGAGTGTACAAAAGCTTACAAAAGTTAAACTACGATGACAATTCACAGTACGGTAACTACTTACTGGCAACCTCTCCAACTTACTGGCAACCAAGATATATGCTTTCACTCCATAAAAATGAGAGATAACAGCAATTAGTTTGTACTCTTACTCCTTATATACAAAGAATTGGAGCAGATGGTAAACATCAAGTTTATATCCTAGCTGACCTCTCAATTATTTCTACGCCTGCTCATTTCTATAGCCTATTTTCCTGCTTCTAGTAAAGAAATAAAGAACGTTCTTCACAAGTTTAACTGAATGGCTGAAGGTACTGAAACTTCTGTGAAGGTTTCCTTTATTCTAAGTGCTAGCCATTGAACACAAACAAGTATACCTCTTCTCTAGGGTGCTGCTGCTCCTAAATCCTTCTCCCCTATACCTACACCGTGGCACAGCTACAACTTCCCTGTTACCTTTGTCCCCTGCTGACCCAAGCAACAACAGTGACAGCAAACTAAATCTACTTTAAGGCACCCAAAACTTTTTGGACATCCACAGACACTATGAGGACTTATGAGGTAAAGGAATAAAATAAAGGTCAGAACTGCTGACTAACCAAGTTGCATTTTGGCTTAATGATCAAAATAGAATCGTAAGTTTATGGAACATCTCCCCCCGTTTTTCAGAAAGGAAGTTAAGATGTTACCTTCAGAGTCCTGATTTCACAATAGAGGTCATGTAAGACTCTTACTGGAGATTCATCTTCATAGTCTTTGATATGCACGTTCACATGAAAGGGATTGGAAAGAAAAAAGGGGCATTGGTATTTTAGCATGCAAATACATTCTACATCAGAACACAATCTCCTGTATTTGAGAAGCTGGAGTCATATGTTAGAGAAAGAGAGTCAAGACAGGGAAAACCAAAGAGAAACTAGTTCATACTGCATACCTTGCACAGCACATGACTACAGTCTGCACAGAACATTAAACTACACAGAGGAACTGCACAGGCTTCCACTTCAGTGTTGCAGCTAATAGTGTAAAAATTAATAGCAGCTGTTGGTACAATAGGCAGGTCCCTGTGCTGTCACAGATTATTTGTGCTAAATTCTTATCCTTAAAGAGCTTGAACTTGAAATAATAATAAAAGTTGAAAAAAGTGATATAGACTCCACTGAAAAACATACATCAACAAAAAGCTGATTTCTTCTGCCTTATTTGCAGGTCGGCAGACGACAGTACTGTTTACTTACACATGTAGTAGTCATTACTTCTTAAACTGGAAATCAACGTTAATGCAAATATCATAAAAGAGGACACCTGCTATGTGACAAGACATAGATATAATCATAGAATGGTTTGGGTTGGAAGGGACATTAAAGACCATCCAGTTCCAACCCCCCTGCCATCAGCAGGGACACCTTCCACTACACCAGGTTGCTCAAACCCTCATCCAACCTGGCCTTGAACACTTCCAGGGAGGGGACATCCACAGCTTCTCTGGTCAACCCGTTTCAGTGTCTCACCACCCTCACAGGAAAGAATTTCTTCCTAATACCTCATCTAAACCTACCCTCTGCCAGTTTAAAGCCATCACCCCATGTCCTATCACTCCCTGCCCTTGTAAAAAGTCCCACCCCAGCTTTCTTGTAGCCCCTTCAGGCACTGGAAGGCTGCTATAAATACAATTAGAAGCTTCAGCTCTCTGTGCAGAGATAGAACAAGCCCTGCAAATGTGTTTTCCTGTCTCAATCCATGAAAAGGAGTAAAACCAAGAATGTGATTCCCATTTCATCCCGTTTTTCCCTGGGATTAAAGCTCACCTATACACCCACAAAAGAGCTCGGAGATACAGTGGTAGCCAGGGAGCCCAAATACCGCCCTGCCCAGCTACTGCCAGGCCCACCCCCGGAGCCACCAGCCCCGCAAAGGCCCATCTCC